AAGCAGCTAAGCAAGAAAAGTGCAGAAATGCCGTGATACATCTGTACTGTCCGTAACATTTTTCTTTAAAAAAAGTGGATGCTGGTCTCAGCCATGCTATCAGTAAAGTCTTTTTTTTTTTTCCCCCCCGAATGCCGTGATACATCTTTACTGTCCGTAACATTTTTCTTTAAAAAAAGTGGATGCTGGTCTCAGCCATGCTATCAGTAAAGTCTTTTTTTTTTTTCCCCCCCGCCCTGGAATGTCTTTGACAGCAACTTCCAAATGAGGAAACGTAGTAATCAGTTTTCTGAGGATGTTCGAAACTGCAGTGCAGGAAATGTTGCATATCTTCGGTCAATTTAGGGTAACAGAGAGAAAATTTGAAGGTGTAGGAGAAACGGAGGAGTGCAGACAGCAGGACGGTCCATGAACAGGCAGCGTTAATGCAGTCTGAATGGGCCCTAGGGACAGACAGCGACTGAACTGGGTTAAGGCAGAAGATGAATTCAATTTGATAGCTGTTAGCAAGAGACTGGTAGAGTTTCTCAAAGTGAAAAGCTGCTGCTGTTCTATGATGAACAGGTGGGATGCTATTTTCTTGTTACTTTTCCGAGTCTTTTTCTGAATTGTTAGAAGCAAAGATGTCAGAAAAAGAATTCACCTTATAAGGGTCAGTTCTGTAGAAAAGAAAAGCCTGTGTTATTCTCAACCATTTTTAGCTTTTATGGTTTATAGCATTTGGCCTGGTCTAGCAGAAGATTTAAGAATTTCATGATTAAACTATTCTTGCTTTTAAAATGTGCCTGTGATGTAAAGAAAGGGTTGGTTTGTTTGCCAGTGGAAACCGTAATGCTTTCAGTTAGTAATGCTGTTTTATGATTTTACGCAACTCGAGAATAAAGCAGTGGACATTTTGCAAGAGGTGCCCTCTCCTGGTTTATTGACCCATGACGCCCTTGAGGATGCAGAGCTGGGCGAGGAGACACAGGAGCCAACGCTGCCAGTCAGTGCTTGATGCAGATTTAGAGAAGAGTTGTCCTTTCAGCAGGGACTTAGGAGCTTATTCATGGTTTACTAAGTATCAGAGCATACATTCAGAGTTTGCAGTCTGGGGATTCACAGAAAGACCTGAATAGAAAAGGATGCTTATTTCAGGATAATCTGATTTGATTTGAACAGCATACAACTTTTAGAAAACCTTTATAGCCTTTACTTTTGCTTCTTTGCTACAAAAGTCAATTCTACATGAAAGTGGAAAAGTGGAAAGTGACCTTCTGGATGACACTGGTTTAACTGCATTAAGAAGATACCTTGTATGCATGTTAGAGTAACTGCTGCTTTTTTTGGCATTGCTACGTAACAAACGGTGTCGCTATTTGTACTTACTAAGGTTTGTCAGCTTTACCAGAAAGTTTTGCACTAAACATTATAGAAGATACAACAAATTGAAAACCTGTAACTTACGTCTTCACATTTATTCTCAAATTCATTACCCCCAGTATTTGTTAGACACGCCGTATCTCTTTGGAGATCTGGAGCTGAACCCAACAGCTAACCCCAGCCCTGAAGCAACTGCCCCGGCACAGAAGATTAGAACAAGTTTGAAAGATCCTGCAAATTCCTGGACTTCCTTGCAATTCCAGTGGGCTTTGCTGCTGTGGGTTTCCAGGAGCAGCTAAACCTAAAACATTCCTGGTAGGTGAGAAATGAAGTGGATCCCACACTCAGAGGTTTTTTACAGCTATCCATAAGGTAATCTACAGTAGAGTTTAACTGTGCAAATTTTTCATCTTTTCTAGATGAAAAGATCTTTTCTCTGTATCTTCATCTGGATATACTTGCTTGCCTAGATCAGCGCGATGAATCATTTCTGCGGAAGTGTAGGATGTCACAGTCACCGTTACTGACTCCAGGCTGCTATGGGGTGAGGGTCCTTTTGGGATGGGGGGGATGCTGGTGATTTTTTCTTTTCTTCAGATGATTTTTAATTCTTTTGAGGGTCCTATTTTGTGCTAATCTTTTTCTTAAAAATGTTTGCACTGCTTCCTTGTTTTAATATTTCTTACATTGCCCTTGTCATCTCACTGAAATGACGATCCTTGTGACTGATCGAACTGACTCGATGATCCTTGTGGATCCCTTCCAACTCAGGACATTCTAGGATTCTATGAAATGAATTCTGAATACTGGATTTGAGGCCTAGCCTAGAAAAAAAGTCTCTTAATATATCTTTCAAGTTTGACAATATGTTAACATTATATTTTAGTATGTTTTAAGCTTTGAATCTACTGTTTCCAGCCAATTTGAAAGCATCGTTGTGGCTATCCCTCTTGCTCTTCTTTTTCCCTAAACTTTGTGTTTATTCCTCTCTTGTTTTGGACATCTGTTCACTATTAAAGGTCTCCAGCGCATTGATGTTCTTGGTATGATGGCAATGGCTTTACTACTGAACAGTAGTTTGATTCTTTCCATGGTCTTTTTGCGCCACTAGTAGGCAGTTTGTTTGCTTGAAACCTTTTATTTGACCTTTTATTTTATTTGCTGCTTATGTCCAGCTTTATATGTAGCTGATTTTATTTATCACAAGAGTCCATCTATATCATTTGTTGTACACTTTGAAGCAATTTATTCTTCTGATGCAAAAAACCCTAACAGACTTATTAAAAGTTGTGTCAAAGTTTACTTTCTGATTTTTTTTCTGTGAAAGGAAACTAGTTCTTGATTTCAACAGCTTGACTTTTGTTCTACACCATTGAGTCCCTTCATTTTCAGGATATCACAGGACACGTAGTACAAGGCAACGTCCTTGAGTTTTAGTGTTCCATGTCACGCAGAAATTAATTGTGCCCTCAGGTTTTTTTTGAGTGATCATCATATTACTTCTGAGTATAATACGAGCAGGATGTTTTTTTGGGGCTGCTGTGAGTTTTTTCTTTTCTAATTTGAAACTTGCTAACAAGGCTAGATTTTTGGAAAAAAACCCCAAACTTTTAAACTGTACTTCAAGCACATCTTTCCATAGAATTAGGTTTGCATCCCATCTGCTGTAAACAAGTTCATTTTGCATGGTACATGCTATCATTTGGTTCCATGGTGGGGGGGAACTGTGCAAGCAATTGTTTAAACATATCAAGAATGGTCCATGCTGCCTGTGTAGATACTAGTCTTTTGTTTGCAAAGAAATAACAATGCATGACTCTTTATCAGGTATTGCTTTCCATTTTAATCACATGCTCATCATTTTCAGTTTTAACGATATGTTCATATAGGATTATGGCTAAAAGTAGAAAGAATATAAGTAAACATTTAAGCATCTTTCAGTGCTTTTCCCTTTTTTAATTTAATAGCATATATTAGAGTGAAATAACTTTTTTTTTTTAACACAGAGGCCCTGAGAAATTGAAAAGTACTGACTAGTCTAAAGGACATGAAGAATCCTGTTTTTAGTGTAATCCTGACTGAAAGTCCTACCTTTATAATTGAAAAGATTATATTGATGTTAATCCAAATGTGCTTTAATGGGGGGACCCCCCCCCTCTAATTGCCTATAGCTGCTGGTATTTACATTCCAAAGAGGTACTCTAATTAATGGAAATCTTAATTTATGTCTCTAAATGCTGTATTAAGAGCGCTAATTTCAGGAACCACTTGCTCTTGTTTAAAACTAGAGCATATTTTATTCTTCCACGAGACTAAGAGACCTCTGTCATAAATGCTGTGTAAATACTTTTGACATTTTAATCCTAAAAATAGAATCTTACCATTGCCACATGTAGTAGTAACAAGTTAATATAAATTTGGAGGGAAAAGGTATGTTCCTGTGTGTGTGTATGCGTGATTGTAAGTTATTGCTATGGTGTTGCAGATATACGTTATACAGGAATCTAGTTAATGTGAATACCATAGTGGGGAAAGCAGTAGAGCGTGGTAGTAATATATTCACGTTAACACATCATTTTGGATTCTTCTCAGTCAGTTCTTCCTCAATACACATGAACTTCCAGCTTTAAAATCTCCAAACAGCAGTCATTTCTAGAAGAAATAAGGAATTGTTTAATTTTCCTGAAATGTTTAGAAAAACACATGCTGCAGTTCAATAGAATTTTCCTGTACTGAAAGATGAAATAGAGTATTTAATACAATTTATTGGGGATGAGCTTTATGGCTTTTGTAAAGGAAGTTATGCATTACTGATAAGCAACCTCTCTGAAGTCCATGCCTCACTCACTAGCCACGTGGACCTAAGGCAGTCAGTACAGTCTGCTTGGATTTCCAAAATGTAAGGTCCCTCCCCAAAGGAAAGTTATACTGGTTTGAGAGGGACAGTCTTCTAATTTGTAAAGAATAAATTTGAAAAGAATAAAACAAAGGAAAGGGGATAAATGGTCAGTGGGAAGAAGTCACTGGAGGAGGTATGCTATGGTCTGTCCTACTCAATATAATTGTAAGTGATCTAGGGAAGGGTGTAAAAAGTGAGGTGACAAAGTTGGTGACAATACTGTGTTTCCCTGAAGCAGTAAAGAAAAGGGGTGACTGCAAGCAATTGCAGAAGGACCTTGTGATATTGACTGCATAGGCTGTGAGTGGAAAAGGAAAACTGAGTTTTGATAAATGTGAAATAACATCCAAGGAGAAAAGCGATCATAAATTCACATATAAGATGATGGGTTCTCAGCTGATCCTATAGATGAAGTCTTAGAATGATGATCTATGAAAATATCACCTCCTCTCTCAGTAATGGACAAAAAATCAAATACAATGTTAGAAACTGTAAGATAAGGAATAGAGAACAAAGTAGAAAAACCCACTGTGACACTGTATAAATCCACGACTACCAAGTGCATTTCTGGTTCCACAATCTCAAAAAGGTTCAGACAAACATATCAAGGTTGATCAAAGGTATAAAAGATGATATAATATGTATGTATAGGATGTGAGACATTTAAATACACTAAATCTTTGAGGCGTGGAAAAGAGGTGATTGAAGGAGGACCTGATGGAGACAACTTACTTATCCATCAATCAATGCAGGTTTCTCGACATTCTTTTTCTGTTTCAAATCTATTGTTGGTACCATTACAGCCTCCGTACCAGAACTGGCCACAAGAATTGCCATTCTTGTCATAATACCATTTCACCACGTAGTCCCAACAATCCCCTTGTTTCATAGGTTCCAAGCACCTTGGATCTGAAAGTATATTGGTAAAAGTTAGCTTGGATTCTGGGGATAAGTTACGTTATCCTAGAAGTGCCTCCTTCAGTAACAACAGCACCCCTTTTTTTTTGTAACGCCTGGGAATATATATGCCTCTCTCAAGTATATTGGTAAAAGTTAGCTTGGATTCTGGGGATAAGTTACGTTATCCTAGAAGTGCCTCCTTCAGTAACAACAGCACCCCTTTTTTTTTTGTAACGCCTGGGAATATATATGCCTCTCTCAAATTTGTAGCCAAATTCCATTTCTATTAATGAGTTACCTGAACAGGCCTAAACAAATACAGGATTAGTTTGAAATGAGACTGCCGAAATCCTGATGTAAGAACCAAGCTGCTATTTAAATACATAAGCACACAATTAGTATGCAAGGGTTGTTTGTCATCTAGGTTTCAAAATCTGGCTCTCACTGTGTGTGATGTCTGTAGACAGAGCACCCAGAAAAACAAAAGGTGATAAAAATCTAGTAAGTATATTGGGGGAGGGAGTGGGGTTTGCTTGTTTGTTTTTTTTTTGTTGCAGACTTGCTACCCAATATCTGAGGACAGTATTTATTACTTACCTTTTAGGGTTGTTGCTACCTGTGTTTGCAACCTGGTTAGGTGGTGATCTTCAGTAGCAGTTACATTGAACAAAGGATTGACAACTGGACTCTGAGGTCTGATTTCAGATATGTCATAACGCGGGAGAAATCTCAGTTCTCTGTGTGCAGAGGTGGTCGCAGTGTGATCCTGAGCAGGTGGCAGCGGCTCAGTATATCTGGTCTGTGGTGGACTAAGCTGCAAAAGGAGTCAAAATCTTATAACTTAGAATTCTGTCTGGGCTCAGATGCCAAGAGAAAAAAATGAGAGAATTATGTAGGAAACTTTTGCTAAATAATGTGTGAAAAAATACCATTAACAGCAGGTGGGTTCAGACCTCTTTCTACTGATTACTCAGTACGTGATCATAATTTTCTGACTCTGAGAACTGAATGAAAAGGCAAAGTGATGCCTTCGATTTAGTCACTAAGCTGAATTCATTCCATTGAAGCAAAATTTCAGTCACCACTTAGCCTGTAATATAAACAAAACAAAAAATGGAAGGAACTCTGGGGTAAATCAGTGTTTCTTAACATCTAGTACACTCATGGAGAATGATCTGACATCTTCAGTCTGTCAAGAAATGGAAAATGGCAGGCAGGAGGAACAGGGCACTTGTTATTGATAGAAAAACACATGTACATGACGCTCCTCCAAAGATCTTTTTAGATGTGGCATCCCTTGAGTAAAGCAAAAATTTCCAAAACTTGTGTTATGGGAACCACATCCTATTAATAAGATTGTCTCATAGATGTGTCCTTGTCTGTATCAAGCCAAGTGACAAATCGCCCATTGTCCTGTTTCTAGCTAACAGCCAGTTGCTAATCATTAGAATTTTAGAGTTCACCTCGATAGAATTGTTAAGAAGTCAACCCTGCTCTTCAACTTAAGACTATTACATAAAAATTTGCCTCTCTAGGGTTCTAGTATATTCAGGAAGATTTGCAAGGATCTTAGTGCAGTATAATACAAATGACTGCATTAATCCCACATGTTGATTACTTACTGAGAACAGGAAGGAATTTGACACTCTTCAGTATCTTCCCATTTACAGGCCACTACTGACACACTCAGTCAGTTTAAGAAAACTCTTCAGAGTCACCGGGACTCTGAAAACTGAAGTCTAGGTGAAATGTAAATGTGGAGACAATTAATCCAGTCCTCTGCATATTGTATTTCTTCTCCAGGTCGACAAAAAGGCTGCGTTTATTTCTGACAGTAATTCAATAGTTTTGAAGATTTAACTATAACCATGGCCAGCCAGAACCAAGTGTATGAGCATCTAATCACTTAGAACTAATCCTATCTGTGATCCTTATCACACGCTTTATAAATCCAGGTTTACATTTGTTTTTCTTAATGATACAGAATGTCAAAATTGACCCTCAGTGTCACACATATCTGTCTGGAGGTGTTACAAGCCCCAAACCTAAATCAATCACACCTACTGAGGGAACTCTTACTGAAAGAAATTAAACTGAATTTTGAATGTGAACTATTTAATTATTAATGATATTACATAAACAATAGTCCAAAGGATTAATATTGGCTAATCCATTGACTCCTCCACAGTAAGTCAGTAATATTTAATTAGCTCCAATCTGTATTCAGTTCACTTAATATTTAAATGCTAGTATCATGGTCCACTATATCCAGTCCATGCAGCTACAGGGGTTTATACATCAAATATTTCAATAGTTTATTCAACTGGTTACAGGGCCAAGCAACACTCGGTTTTTATCATCAGCTATTTTTAGGCAAAGCAATAAAAACATCCTAGAGAGTTAGTGCTGATATACTGTGAAGTTGACAAATATCCTACTCTGATACTAAGACAGTGGCTGAAAAAGACCAAAGACCTAATAAGGGAACTAAGGTGATACACATTAATTTAAAGCTGGAGAACAAAGAGTTAACATGAAAGAGGAGTCCTAGAAGTACAGCCTCATGTGGAAAGCAAAACAATACTGAAGGCTTAATAACATCTGGAAAGTGCTGACCACCACAAGAAGCATTGTACTAACAATCAGCTTGCACATAAATAAATGCCTTATACACTACATACCTGCCTCAATAGAGATGTATCTGTAAGATCTCTAACTCACTTCTAAGATGAATAACAACTACAAAAAATATGAGAACTGTTGGCATTTATTGCAACTAAGGAACAGTATTACCCTCTTTCTTCTGTAAGCTTCTGTTCTCAACAATTAAGTTCACTCTAACTTTAAAAGTTTTGTTCAAATCTTTTGGTCTAGACAAATGACACATTATTTGCATATTAAAAGACTGGTGAATGGTGAAATAAAGAGTATTTGAATTCAAATAAAGACACACATCTTTTAAAAACATTTGATAACTGTTACTTCTTTACTTACTGGGTAACTGATTCCTTCTGTAGGGAGCGTATCTGAAGTAGTCACTTTAGGTAACTGGCTGTTGGTATCTTCACTAGCAATTTCAGATTCTGGACTTGGAGACAGAGATAAAACATTATCTTTCCTGGTGTAGACTTCAGACACATTCTCACAGATTTTTGTGATCAGTTTATTTTCAAGAGCTGAAAAAATTAACAAAATGATGAAATTTATTAAGAGTAATCAAGAAAAGTCATAACAATTCACCACAAGCTTTTAATGCAGTATTAACCCTAAATCTTGAGCGATAGTGACTTGTGAAAGACTGTCTTCTAAAGTTATGTCAAAATGCAAATGAGAAGTAATAAAGTAATGCACTCTCTGAATTATTTGATTTCAAGGCCCTTTTGTTCTTTTAAGAAGAAACAGATAAAAATAACAAGTCCCTTTTTTAAGCAGAAGTCATAGCTCAACGGTGAAGAAAAAAAAAAACAGAGTGAAGGAAAGAAAGCATTTACATGTAAGAAGGAAAAAGAAAAACCGGGCGACACATTCTACTTATTTGCTCAAAAAAATTCAGCGACTGAGAATACTTTTATGTTGAATGCTGGAGCCTGAGTCAGAGCCCTAAATTTAATACTGTCTGGGACCAGAACCTTAGCTTGGACTCTCTTCTCACTGTTAATGCCTCAAATTCAGACTTGACTCCATCCACAGGCTCAGCATAGCAAAATAAGTTTATGCTCAGGAAAAATATACTTTATAGAGCTAGTCTGCGGTTAGTCTGGATCAATGTACTTTTTTTTTCATGGGTCATTATAGGTTTTCTCTGGATTTTCTCCTGATTCCAGCTGTGGCAACAGGATTTTTTCAAGCCACAGTTTGAAATATACAATGTATTATTAGGCCCCATTCCCTTGTGTGTTGCTCCACCACTTTTCCCCTAGGATCAGGATGAAAGCATAGGTTTCACTATGGCTTTCAGAAAAAAACCCAAAAGAGTGCTTCTAAGAGATGGTGGAGGGACTCCAAGACTGACAAGAGCCACATGAAATAGCGAAAGAGACAGAGATGTTGCATCAAGGTGGAAGGAAATCTGCACCTCTCTGGGATGAAACCATGGCCAAGCACAAAAGGACTGTGAGGGAAGGCTGATGCAAGCTCTCGCAAAAGAGGAGTGCCCCAAAGAAGGCCTTGGCTCAGAAAACTGATGTTCATGGTGTTTTATTGTTTCTGCAAGAGGTAAAAATTTGGCAAAGGTTTCATTTGGCCAAAGAAGAAGAGAAACAGAAGAAAGCTGCATCCAAAAGAGAAACATAAACTGCCATTCAGCAGGCTCCTTTGCCTTGCTATGGGAAAGGCTGAACTATCTTATGTGCTTATTTCAAGTTTCCTCTTACGAAAATAGTTTCTTTTACCTGAAAGCGTCATGAAGTCATCTATCTGGTAAACATGTTCTTCATCAGGGTCTGTTGCAACGAGCTGCATTTCTTTCAGAAAATCATCATAATGAGGATCAGTGCTTTGAACGACCCCAATGACAAATATCTCAATATTCGTAGCATGGGCCTCTCTTACTACAGTGTCCAGTTGTACTTTATCACGAGCGTCTGCTTGTCCATCTGTTATTACAACAGCCACTTTTCTTACTGCCGGGCGTGCTGCCCGAAATAACTGAATGGCTTCTTGGATAGCAGAAGCGGTGTACGTGCCTTCTCCTAAGTAGGGCATTTTATCAACAGCTGATTTCAGGTATTCTTTGCTTGTGTATTGCTTCAGAGAAGACACCAACTCCACTTTATGGCTGAAGTTGATAATGCCAAAGCGGGTTGTAGCGTGGTTGGCCGATACCTTGTCAATGACTGTTTTCATAAACGTTTTGATAATATTGAAGTTATCCGGTCCAACACTTTCTGAACTGTCAGTGACAAATACTAGTTCCAGTGGTGTTACTCTACATCTGATACCACAACCTAGAAGAATAACCATTTCAGACGTTTTATGAGAAACCACCTTCATAAAAGTTGAACTCATATATCAGATTTACACCCAGTTAAAGCTCAATTAATTAATTAATTTATAGTTACTGATACTGATAAATAGAAACAGAGATGGACCAAATTACTTCCAGTATAGCTCTGGCAACATAGTCAGCATTGTTTTCACGTCAATGGAATCCTTACACAAAAACATGCAGAGGACAAATCCATTCAGTCAATATAAATTCAGTGTGTTTTATTACAACTATTTTTTTCCATACTGGAATGCTTACCACATATTTCATTGATAAGTCTGATAACTTCTTCTCTCTGAAAAAAAGAGTATTAATTAATTTGCTGTGTGTTCTAGTTTTAAGAATGTTGAAATCTATTTATTTATTTACAAAAATGCAGGCAATGCAATGCCCCATAAACAACCTTGTGTAATATCACATAACCTTTAAATATTTTCCCAAAACAAACTCCTATTTTTTAAATTAATTCACGTACATACTTACCGAAAGACCAGGTTCACCTTTTCTTCCCCAAATTCCCTGAAAACATGTAGAGTGACATAATTAACAAAAGCCAAATTTGTCTAATTTCTGTTGTGTAAAATTAAATAATATGAAAATGTGTTTTACCTTTGGTCCTGGAGGTCCTGGGTCTCCAATCTCTCCTTTGGTACCTTTGCTCCCTGGATCACCTTTATCTCCATAGTCTCCCTAATTTAAAACAACCGGATTAAACAGTCATTAAACTCCAGTTTTGTTGATAGTCAGAGCTGGAGTTATGGTTCAATAAGCTTTTAAAATAAATTTTCTGATGATTTTTTTTTTGTGTGTGGCTGGTTTATCTTGTATGTATTATGAAGACAACATTGCAAAGCAGGCTCTCAGATAAAGCAAGATGGGCAGTAAAAACATCTTTAAGAAATTTCTATGAAAAATTACCTTAATTCAGGAATGAGGGGTAAAGACATCTTTATGCAAAGATATATATAAGAGACTATATCATTTTTTACTCTTCTTTGATTTTCTTGAACTCTAAAACAATGTTTATACTGGACCTATGTTAATTCAGACCTATGGAGAGACGTAACTGCCTCAGATCAGCCCATGTACTGAAACTCACATCAGCTTTGTCTAGAACCCACACAAAAAACTGGGAGCTTGCAAAGAACAGAGGAAAAGGCATGCTTGGACTGTTACATCCATTGGAAAATATGCAGTTTCACGTTCAGAAGCAAGTCTACACATTTTTCCTCAAGTGACTAGACCTTTTAATTTCCAAAAAGAGAAAGGGTTCAACATTATGGTATTTCAAGAGACAGTTTTCACAAAATGCAGGTATGAAATATACTATCAAAAGATTCAGGTTCTACATTAGACATTTCTTCAAGAAGGAGATTGTGCAGGACAGTTTTTTTACTTCTCCCTGGAAGTTACTGACCACATTACATTTCACTTGAAACTTTAAAGCTTAGAAATTTATCTAGATACTGTCCATTATGATATTATTCCTCATTATTACTGTGCTGGTTTTGGCTGGGGTAGAGTTAATTTTCTTCGTAGTAGCTAGTATGGGGCTATGTTTTGGATTTGTGCTGGAAGCAGTGTTGGTAATACAGGGATGTTTTCATTACGGCTGAGCAGTGCTTACACGGGGGAGTCAGGGCCTTTTCTGCTCCTCATGTTGCCCCGCCAGTGAGTAGGCTGGGGTGCAAAAAAAAGTTGGGAGGGGACACAGCTGACCCCAACTGACAGAAGGGCTGTTCCATACCATATGACGTCATGCTCAGCAATAAAACTAGGGGAAGGTTGGCTGGGGGGCTGTTGCTTGGGGACGGGCTGGGTATCGGTTGGTTGGTGGTGAGCAACTGTTTTAATTTGCATCACTTGTCTTTCTTGGGTTTTATTTCTCTCTCTTCATTATTTTTCTTTTCATTATAACTTATTATTATAACTACTTCTTCTTCTCCTTCTTCTTCTTCTTCTATTTCAATTATTAAACTGTTCTTATTTCAACCCACGAGTTTTCTCACTTTTACCATTGCAATTCTCTTCCCTCCCATCCTGCTCAGGGGGGCAGTGAGCGAGCAGCTGTGTGGTGCTTAGCTGCCAGCTGGGGTTAAGCCACGACGATTACTCAGCCAACGGAGTCACACAGATACCTCCTGTATTACATCGCACGCTGTTTGCCGTGGTGATTGCTATCAATTTTAAGAAACCCTTTTGACTCTCTCAGTCTGATTCTGATCTTATTCAAACTGGTATAAACCTGAAAATTGTAGACAGCTCCTCCACAGCATTAAGAAAACCAGTCTCCACTAAGTAAGTTTTTGGGAGACAGTTTCTCATCCATTTCACAAAATCATAATATCCAGCAAAGGATATTACTTTCCCTTACCTGTCCATGAATTGAATCTAACCTCATCAAAGTTAATGTCAGCATAAGGGAGAGCAAATATGATCTACTGACTGCGGTGGTGCTGCTACTGTCCTACACATAAATATACTAAAACCTGATCTCTTTGGTATTGGCACTTACATGAAATTCCTACTGAACTAAACCATTCCTTTTCATGTGTGACAAGTTTGCCATATTAATAGTAAAGAGAAAAAAATTGTGAGTATTTGGGGAGATGTACACTGGTATATGAAGATTAGTCAAGATACAAGATAAATATGAAGAACAGTGAAAATACTGCAATTATTATTACAGTATGTAGCATTTGGCATCTGAGAGAAAATTTGAATCTGTGTGAAAGAGCTTGATATTCACTGTTGCATAAAAGTTCCAAGCTGTAGCAGAAGCCTGATAACACAGAAGTCCGAGACAGTGCTACATAATGTGAGCTAGTATAGACCATAGTACCACGAACATCATTAGCGCAGGCAACACATGGCTGGGGCTCTGAATGGGTACTGCCTGCCTCAGGTGACTACAGAGGGGACTGAACTCTTACTTGGGTAACTTAAAGTTAGGGAGCCTGATCATCTCTGCTCTCCCACAAAGATTGCCATGGGTTTTTTTCTCAGGCTTTCCAGACAGAGCCTTCACAATAAATTCAATATTTCAGCTATGTTGTAATTATTGCAGAGGGTCTGCCCAGCTGGCCCAGACATATTCTGTGAATTAAAGGTGGTGTAAATCATGCATTTACATCAATGCTCATTCCGCCTGGGCACACTGTTCTTGCTTGTGTATGCACATAGTTGGTCTGCCCATCCACATTGACCAGGACCCTTGGTTTCCTTTGGCTAGGCTGCTCCCATCAGAAGCTGCACATCTGAAAATCACTGATAAATGGACAAAGTATTTAAATTCCCTTTGTGCAAAATTTGTTAGATGGGAATAGGCACGTGTAGGAAATTCTTACAATTTTTATATCAAGCAGGAAGTTGTTCAGCAAGGAAAGATTCAAGCTTGGGCTTCAATTATTGTAAAAAAAATGAGTCAAATCAAACAAATCCCTTAAAAGACATTAGTCAAAAAGCAATTCTTTTTTTTGTCAAAGCCTGGCAGATAAAAGGACGTTTTGTAATACCTGAAAAATATCTAAGATACCTGAATACATAATTTGACTAATATTATTCTCTTGCTAACAGGTATGAATTCATTCTAGATCTTACTTCAGAGCCTGATCCTTAATGACAATTAGGATTTTCCCAGGCTCCAAAGCTGACAATAAGTAATAGGCACTTACCTTGCTAGCTATACAAGGCAATGTCTTTGCCTTCTGTTTATCTTCAAAGACCTGTCACACCAAATAACCAATAAAGGAAGAAAAAATTACCTTTTTTTCCTCACTGCAAACCTAGGATTTACCTTTGGTCCAGGAAGGCCAATTCCTATTGATCCCTTTAATCCAGGAAAACCTTTATCTCCTTTTTCTCCCTGAACAGAATATGGAAAGTAAGTTTACTGAAAATTAAAGTAAAATCTATGCTGTATCTATTCACTTTATAACATTCTGCATCACAGAGAAAGCCAGATATTTGTATTATGAAATGAAGCACATAATTTTCAAGAGAAAAGTGGTCTGAAGCTGGAGAAATAAGCATTGGGTATGATTCAGAATACACATGAAGCCTTTATAAAGTATATAATGAAGAATTTATTCCTGATTAATTAAATGAAATAGGGTCATTTCACTGAAACAGATGAAAGTCAAAAGTAACCTCACTGAGGCTCAGTCAGTTATTCATCCAGTCTACAAGCAGTAAAACGAGGTCCAACACAAAGGTTCTCTAGAAATACACACACACAATCTCTGCAGGGTTGACTTAGTTTTTCTCATCTGAAGTAAATAAAAAGACATGTCTACTTTTCACAATGTGGAAAGCAGAACATCTTTCTGCTAATACTTCAAAAGACAGTATCAGTCCAGCTACAAAGTTCAAATTTGTCTAGAATGATTGTTACACACGCCCTGCTCCATGCACGCAGACTTGAAAAGCATAGTCATGCTAGCAGTGTGGGCATACAACATGTTATAAAACACAGCTGTTATAAAATATGTACAGAAAATTCTTCACAGCATCTGGCTTCCAGAAACTTTCCTGCTTTATTTAATAGGGTAACACAAACATTTTTTTCAGATCAACTGCTGTATACATTGTAAACACAGCTAGAGGTGATTATGTTCTGTGGTGCATAAATATTTCACCATAGTTGACATTACATACATAATTCACATAACAGCAGTGTCCGGTGCAGGTACCAAAACCAGCTCCAGAGCATGTCAATGAGATCAGGAGCAGTCATCACCTGTATCAAACCTAGCCCATGAGATGCAAGTACAAGGGGAGTTAGTTTTATTTTTCAGTCAAGAGCTCTCAGACTGTCTCACTAAAGCATCTTTTACTGATACTTGTATAGCTGCTCACAAATGGGTCTAAAGGGGTTATATTGCTCACAATGGGCAGAGAAATACAAAAATGTTTCCAAATTTATCAAGACTCCACCCTTCTCCAAAGGCACACTAGTGCAGAAGGACTGACCACTTTCCTGCTGTGCTGGATAGGGGCTTATGGGTGTCTGCAGGCGGAGAAGCAGCTGCACAGGGCAGAGGCAAGTCAACCTCCTCTTCCTTGTACTCAAGGCTCCTGACTCCCATGAGTTGGGAGTTCACCAGGAGTTAGACAATGAGATGCAGCTCCTAGAAGAGGCAGTATACTATGATTCATGGTCCATGGATGGTTTTCCCTGTCCAAATTCCAGATTTGACCGAGATCCTACTGAGATGGGAGCTCCTGCTTGCACACGGGTGTGTTGTGATCTTGCCCCATGCTAGGCAAAGGCACTCACTGCACCCCACCATTCACATCTGCACTGGAGCACTGCCTTTACAGCCCTGCCCTGTGGGAGCCTCTTGGTTCACTAGTCTGTCCTGGTTTCAGCTGGGATAGAGTTAATTTTCTTCCTAGTAGCTGGCATAGTGCTGTGTTTAGGATTTAGGATGAGAATAATGTCAATAACGCGCTGATGTTTTAGTTGTTGCTGAGTAGTGCTTACACAAGCCAAGGACTTTTCAGCTTCCCATGCTCTGCCAGGTGCACAAGAAGCTGGAAGGGGGTACAGCCAGGACAGCTGACCCAGACTGGCCAAAGGGCTATTTCATACCGTGTGACATCATGCTCAGTTTATAAGCTGGGGGGAGTTGGCCGGGGGCAGCGATCACTGCTCAGGTCCTGGCTGGGGATCGAATTATTATTTTTTTTTCCCTTCCTCCGCTGTCATATTAAACTGTTTTCATCTCAACCCATGGGTTTTACTTTTTTTTCGCCAATTCTCTCCCCCATCCCACTGAGGGAGGGGAGGGTGAGCAAGCGGCTGTGTGGTGCTTAGTTGCTGACTGGGGTTGAACCACAACATAGTCCTAACTTGGGGAGGTAAAATGCTCTGCTCATCACCGGGGCTATCACTGACCTGCTAACCAGCAGCCTCTTGCCTCTGTAGCAGAACGTCTCCCCTTCCCTTCCCCTCCAATTTCTTACAGCAGCAAAAAAACCTATTAGTTAGACTCTGGAGACTGGAAAAGAAACTATGATGCACCAAATTACATAGCTGATTCACTAGGGAAAAAAAAAAAAGAATTTCCTGCAATATTCCTAAGGCAATGGGATGCACAAGGCAATTTATTTTGTGCTGTTGTAGGAATGCACAGTGACTATTTAAGCTAATTTACTTTAAGTCACTTTTTAGCAGGATTGTGCTTCCTGGGTCCTTCATGTAGGTTATTAATGCAAATGGCTTTTAAACACAGTGAAACAGTGTGCTAGCTTGTTTCCGTGTTTGCTGGCCAGCACTGGGACTGACTATCCTTCCTGACTAGGGTCATCACACAGCTTCCTCACTAACACCTTTGCAGATCTGCAGAGCACATATGTATGAACCAGAATTAGGATACGCTGTGCATTCCAGTGGTCCTTCACTATTAATAAATGTCAGATCCGACAAAACTATAGGTTTATTGTTGCCATTTGTTACAGCCCATTTGACATTGTTAGGATGGTGTTCATGCAATGAAAACTGAATGAGACCTACTGTTCTAAAAAAAATCATACCTGTACAGCTGACATTTCACACAGGCACACATGAGTTTTATCCTTTAAAACGTCAACTGCAGAACCAAATCCTGCTTCCTCCACTTGTGCAATCAATCAACATAAGAAAGATTTCTCATAGATACCATAACTGAACATTTAGCAAAACCCAAGAAGTATGCTGTATTAATTTAAAAATATTTATTGCTTTGCCAGTTCAATCCACATACGTAATTAAATTCAAACTTAACCATCAGTCTTATCATAAAAAACAAAGTGGTATGCGTGTAAAAATGCAGACCCTTGGATCCCTGACCCTAATATCCTGCTAGATTACTGATCAATAAGCAGACTTGTATGTAAAAATGTCATTCTATGAACTGAGTGCAGATCTGACAATGTCTAGACTGTGGTTTTGAAAGGAAACCAAGCATAAAAAAAGAAGACCTGTGAATGTAGCTATCAACATAAAGTTACTTGAAAACCATCTCATTTTTGACATTCCGTTCTTACCATATGCAGACTGAGCTCTATGTATATATAAAAAAAAAAAACCAAACTTGGAGTGATATTGATAGTTCAAATGCAGGAGTATAATAGCTTTAAGCTGATGAAGAGTGGCCAAAAAGAATGAAGCTTGACATGGCTGTGAAGAGACAAAAGGACAGAAGAGACAGAGAGAAGCTCAACAAGCATCAGCATATGGAGGAAACAGGTACTACAGGACCAAGACAGTTGCCAAAGTTGTTCAGAAAGAAGTTGTTCCAAGGAATTATATAAAAATAATCATAATTTTAAAAAGCGATTGTTAAGGGAAGAAAATTTAAATCACAAGACTGTACCTACACAACTCATGGAATGCTATAGAAACAACACCAGCTGAGTTTGATCCACCACATCATTACAGTTTTGGTTTCCAACCCAAAGACAAAGACTTTCCATAGCCAGAGCACATGTTACTTTCCTACATCCCTAAATTCCACATCCTTAGGTTACAAACATGCCTTCATCCGACAGTGTGTGTCAGTGGCCCGTGTTCTTCCACTGGAAAACTTCCATGATGAAATGGAGTTCTCTATACTTCTAAAATATGCTTTAGATATTTATTCATAGCAGTGCCAACATAATATCCAAAACTCCGTGTGTATCTATATAGAGATAGATAGATAGATAGACAGACAGACAGATAGATGTGTATGTACACACTGGGAATATTTTGACTAACCTTTATCTTTTTTCAGGAACAGAAAAAATATTATATAATCTGTACATTTTTTCATGTATCATCAGATACATCATGTATCATCAGATGCATTTGATTGCTGAAACAGTTCTGTTCAGAATGGCAATTGCGCTTTTATAAATAACCTCACATACCCATAGAATTAACAAAGATATATCCCAAGTATTAGATTCTGGAAACACATCAGAAATGTCTATTAAAGCCAGGCAGGAAATAGTTTTCCTATACCATAAAGCCACACAGAGATGGCAGAATTTTTTCTATTTTCCACAAGAACAGAGAAAAGAGCCTTCAGAGATTCAGCAAACAAAGGAAGACAAGAAAAGAAAATAAGAAGTTCCTTATGCCCTCACATTAAAACACCTAATAGCTTTGTGGTTACTGATAACAGCTAATATAGAAGAAAACTGCAAACAGATCAGAACTAAAGGTCTAGACAGTCATGACTCTAACTGTGTAGAGATCTCTCTCTAGGAAAGTCCTGAGATAAGATAGATCAGAATCTGTTAAAGAGAGTTATACAATAAGGAGAAAAGAAAGAACACAGTAAAGTATGTTTTTGTGCTATGAAACACCTCGCAGTGAAAAAAGGAAGGGCTCTCTGCAGTATAAAAAGGGAAATGATTGAACATGAATAGAAAAATAGAAGACATTGAAGCTGGAATCAGAGCAAGTACTGAACAAAACAAATTCAGAAGGAATCAGTGGTTTTCTGGTAAGGCTCATATGAAGTAATTCCATGCTGAACCAAAGAAAGGTTCTCTGAAACATTTTGCCAACAAGGTACATTTTAATGATTTTTTTGTTTGTTTCAGCATGTCACTATTTTCCAACGAAAACCTATTTTGTCAATGAATTCCCTGGTGGCTTTAGTGTCTACAGCCCACCGCAGTATAGAAAGGCATCTTTCCTAACCCAGCTGAAACAGTGCCCCTCTTACTGAATCATTGATGGTTTGATAACCTAGTGTTGGAGAGCTGAGCCCAATCCTCCTGATCCAGGGAAATATTCAGTCACATGCTCAACTTTAAGCACACTGATTTAAGAGGAGAAACTTGGGTTGTTCTCCACTAGAGCCTCCAATTTTAATAATTTTCTTCCACACATTTATGACAAGGCAATTTATTAACTTTGAATGTTCAGAATATGTTACCATGTTTGTGTTTCTCCTTATAAGGAGAGAAGTTGTGGTTACGGCTGGAACTGGGTGAGTAAAAACCTGATGAAGAGTATGTGGGAGACTGGCTACTTTCTTCTATATTCCTATATGTGGTGTTTGACTTATTTTGACATGGTAGATCTGTTACTGTCTTTTACAAGGGCATTCAGAGAAAACCCTGGATGTTTTCTTCGGAGCACCCTTTAAATCTAAGTCAATCAGTAAGATGTGGCAGAGATGAGACTTTTTTCCCAGGTTAAATGTATTTATAATGACAAGAATAATAGGAGAGCAATTGGGTACCACCAATACTGAAAACTCAACAGTTAAATTAAATATTACACACCTTATGAACAAGAAACTTAAATATACAATGAATACTTGCAGGAGCTCACTGACTCAGTGGCAAAGAGAAAAACAGACAATGAATCTCCTTAAGAGAGAGTTTTGAGAAGAAACTGGACAGATATCACATTAAACTGGATTACCTTGCTTCCTTGTATGCTGTCGCCAGGGGGGCCAGGTGGACCAGGCATGCCTTTCTGTCCCATAATACCCTATAACAGTCAGTGGGGCACAACAAGAAGAATTAGGATGTAAACTCTATTCCTGGTAACACTAAGGAAGTCATCTCAAAGCCACTGCAAGCAAAAAGTAAAACCATGTCAAAGACTCTAGTCCTGATTCTTCCTTGGTTTATGCTTTCTCACTGTGGGCCTTAGTAATTATCCTTAGCAAATTCCCAGGAAAGCAAAGGAACAATTAAACTGAAAATATTTAAAGAATAAAATTTGCCCATGACACAGTGTGGTATTTTCCCCAGGTTTTCCCGCATAGAAACCAAGAGAAACCACCTTTATACAACAGCTTTGTGCAATCACTCCACACAACGGAGGCACAACAGTAGAGGCGCAAAGGACCAGAGCAATAAAACCCAGCACGAGTAAATCTGCCAGGCATGTTAGCTATTTCCTGTGCACCATGAATATATGCTAAGGCCCTGTGGTGCCACAGTCTCTGGGAGCACCAGTCATTCAGAAAATCGTAAGTGGGAGGGGAAGAGAGAAAATCTGAAGCAGAACCTGCTGATTTGTGTCGATACAGTCAAAGCCAGGTAAAGCCCAGGAGGCAGGCTAATCTAACATTTCAAAGTGACAAAGTGAAGCATATCCCTTTGATTACATCAAAACTAAATGTTTGTTTTTCTTTTTTTTTCTTTATTTTTAGTTGAAAAAAGCTTTTGAAATTTGACCAAGCTTCATAAAAGTTTCTGTAGAGTTCACGTTGGATTATTGATTACTGTCTCATAATAAATAATCACCATGCTCCAATACAGTAAATGGAATTCATTCAGTGGTACGTGAACTACCTACATTTTGCATATGTTGAATACTTAGAAAGAAGTATATCAAAACTTAATCATTATTAAATAGAAATATATAGCTCTAAATATTTAACTTCTAGATATTAGTGATGTTTGAAAAGTCATCATTCTCATCTGTGTAGACAAAAAATTTGCCACAAACTTTGACAGAATCTCTTGCGAAAAACACTTAATCTATATATTTATAAGCAGGGATTCACACAAAATGTTCTGCTAAATAGCTTATCTCAAGAACTAGATGCTACGACCAGGTCCTCACCCTGGAATACAAAATATTGTTTCCCCGCAGAGAACACATTTTTTCATTCTCAAAGGTTTTGCGGAAGCAGCACATAGTGTCACACACTTGTAGGATTTTGGTCCAAACTTTTTTTAAACAGTCTGTGTCTGTATGATTTACCAAGGTACTGAAATTGCTGCAGCTTTCAGAAAGCAAGGCAAAGTCAGACGTACATCCTGAGAAAATACTAATGCTCTGTTGCTCATTGCATTTCTGTAACAAGTTGGTAATAGCACTGTTTCTCCATTCAGATACTAGTTTATTCAAGATGGCAGTGTAGAGTTCTGTTAATCTCTGCTAAGGAAATCACAGAAAAAGTTACAAAGGCATATCTATTTTTAACTTAAGTTAAAGTGGAGAAATATACACAATGTTTCTCCTCATTGCCTTTGTAAAAATACTTGATGGATACCCCTATAATAAACAAATCCAGGCATGCATTGAATTTCTTTTCTTACCAATATGTCTTTTTTGAATTACAAATCACTTTAGTGGAGGGAGGAAAAAATTTCCCAGATGTTGCATGCTTGCTGCTTATGGAATTAACTTTTTGTTAAAACCTAATGGTTTTACTAAAGAAATTAATTGGATTCAATTTCATTGAGCAAAAATTGCAAGCATAAAATTCACATTTAACATATTTTCCACCACAAAAGAATCTCTTGGAAACAGAATAGATACAAACAGAAGAAATGCATCATTTAACTAATTTATCAGCCTCATAGTTCTGTTCAATTTCCAGCTATAATCTCATGAAGTTTAGCTGCAAACACCATTTTCATCCCGTTAGTATTCCTTCCTAATCTGGTTGGTAGAAGTGTATGGTCAGTGGCCATGTTTTTATTCTTGATTTCTCCTGCAGTTGCACCAATGTAAATCAATAACTGATGAAGATATTTTGGTGTCTGAGTGATCAGAGTCTGGCAGCCAGCATCACAAAAGAGCACAAAACCTTCAACATGGCATTGTACCAACCTGGGGACCAACTGTTCCACTTCCCCGTGGCCCTGGGGGCCCAGGATAGCCTCTCATTCCACGGTCTCCCTGAAAATAGTCACAGAAATGTCAGTAATTTATCACCTATTAACTGTTACATCTTTCATCCACTTACAAAGCAGTCAGTGAAACTACTGAGTTGAAAAAACAAAACAAACACATGTTACATACCTAAACATTTGCTTTATAGATAGATATCTTAAAAAGCCCCAAATGCAGGCACCCACATTATTTAAGCTCTAGGTGAAGAACCTTATTCCCCAAGCAAAGGTCCATGTGATCAAAATCACCAGCAAAGTTAGGACTCCAATTTGCAAACTTATCAGCTACAGAAGAATAAGAAAGCAAACTCATTTGGAAACACCACCATTTTTCCATCACATTCTGCAGAGGCTTACCAGGATGGACAGGGGACACAACAGTAATCATGCCCTTTACTGACACTGTGCTTGTTCTGAAACTAGCGATATTTAATTTCCAGAACTGTCACACTCATGTATTTATGAAAAATAAATGAATTTTAATAGCATTGATATAGAAGAACAAAAAGAACATTCCTTTCTTTATTTTCTTAAAAAGCCTTAATGCATCCATGTTTAGCTTGGTTTCTTAAGGAAATGAGGCTTAAGTGATACTCTGCCTGTATTTCTGCTTGTCTGTGTTAGTCCTCTTTTTTATCCCAGTATATTTTGAACTCATCAGTTGATTTCAGCCAAATTCATCAGAAATGTAGAGACCTTGAGCATATTCATTTTCGACAGTTTTGGTGATAACTGGAGGCTGGGTAAAGGACAGTGATTCAGTTTATGCTTTTAGTGGGTAAAAAAACACCAGAGGGGGCTGATCCCTTAACCAGCAGGCAGACAGAAGGCAGCAGATGGCTGGCCAGGGGGAACATGGGTAACGCTGAGCCTGGTGCTGCCCATCGTGCTGCAGACAAGCCCAGCAAAGAAGATGGGGGTCAGGGGACATTACTGGTAGGGGGAAGGCATGGGGACATAAGAGGCAGTTTTGTTTTCCTCAGTCCGTAATTGTACAAATGAGGGAACAGGCACACGTTCAGCACATGATCACTAGAAAACTCCCATCAGTTTGAAAAAAAAAAAATCTATAACTGATAAGGTATAGATGCAGAAAATTCTGAATCAGGTTTAGCAAGTGTCCCTAAACCTATGCCTGTGTAGGCAAGTGCAAAAGAAAGAAATGTTCTGATAAGCTATTGATCATCCAATATATTAACAACAGAGCCAAGAAGAAATTGTATTTCTTGACAAAATAAAAAAATCATTATAAAAACTCTTCATTGTATCTGTTTTTTCACTTGGAAAAGCTGTAGAAATGGCTGTGCCTGCAGAGGGAGCATTCTAACTAGGAGAGAGCTGCAAGTATGAATCACACAAATCACAGACGATACTTGAGTTGTGGCAGGTGAAAAGAAACAACATATCAAACTGATTAAAAAGGAAGGAAACAAAAGTATAGAATCTTTTACTGACTTCCTTCACTTTTGGGGAGGAATGTGGGCAGTCATTATAACAACTGCTTTTAGATACAGTGCCCAAGGTTCAATCTTTAGTGAGAGATCACTCGACTCTGGTTTTTGTATATGGCTATGATACTCTCATGCTAAGTCCCGACATATGTGCTATGTATGTAAATATATTAGGGCCCAAACTATACTCAGGTTTGATGGATTTGGAGAGGTGGGAACTCTGAATCCAAAGGCTAAGGCTTAGATTGAGCTTATAATGCTTTCCTCCTTGATGTAACATTTGGCTTCTGAATTTATTTCCAGTTCCTCTTTTTTACAAAGCACTGGAGACAGTCCAATTTGAGTCAGGACATAGGCATGGTACATGGATGCTCTTAGCTTTAAATGGGTGTGTCAAGCTGATGATTGGGTTAAACTGATTGCCATGTTCAGTCGGGAGGAAATTTCTCCCCCAGATTTGATCAGAGAGAGGAGTTTGTTGTTTTTGTCGAGTCTGGTTTGGAAAAGGGAACTAAAGAGAGAGCTACTCTCTTTAGTAGTATTCTTTTTCAGATGACCTGAGGCTTTTATATCACACCTTCCCTGCTAACGCAAAGAGGCAAGATATTGGCAATGCCCTTGAACTTTTTTTTTTTTCCAAATTCTAGCTATAAACTTTTAAAGATTACAATCTTAAGTACTTAAAGACTGTAGCACTTAGGTCTGGTACATGGTGCTGGGAAATGCCCCTCTGCAGTGGGATGAATGGTTGATATTCCCGATCTTTTAAAACATGCCCAGTTTCTCAAGTCCTCCTGCAATGCCTTTTCTTACAATTAGCTTGAGATTGTTATATTACTAGGAAATACTGAAAGTCTAGGCAAATGTAGTCATCTTCCTATTTAGTACCATCTATTATCAAGGGAATAATTTTTGGTCCTCAATGTTCCCGCAAACCATAATACAACCTGAAGCTGTTTGTAGGACAACTCTTTATGGGCAGAAGTTGGGCAGAGCGGCCAAAGCTTTCCCTGCCCAAGCCTCACTCTGAAAACTGCCAGAGGTGCCAGAGCTAAGAGGTGGATACATAGATAAGACTTTGCATTATAAGGTTTTTTTAGGAGATCCTGGGCTGCTGTGGCCTGTGAAACAGCCTGTAAGCCACTGTGATGGAAGCTGAATGGGAGGTTACCAAACAAGTAAATGATTCCTTATGGTCCAGTATCCAATATACCTACAACCTGCTCTTAGACCAGCTCTGATCAAAAAGAGCATAAGGGTGACTTGAAGGCATCTGCTGCTTCCTCCCGTGGGTAGCACATTCTTACACAGGGTCGTTGCAGGTGAAGGACTGAATTTTAGCTTCACATGCTTAGTTAATACCAGATGTCTCACTGAAAAGCTCTTTTGTAGAGCTTTATAGTAATCCTCACAGTTTCTGTATTTCTTGGCTTAGAGAAAGTCTTTTATTTTGCTTTATGAGTTGCGAAGTGGAGCAGTTCTTTTTTCTAAGGTGTGACACTAAACTGTCCTCCGGGGAATTAATTTCAAAAAGGATTAGTACTGTTCTTTGATGAGGTCTAATTTATTTCCTGTATTGTGCTTGTAGACAAGCTTGTCATCATCAGCAAAACAGTGAACTAGAAAAAGAGCACTGAAACAAGAAATTAAGAGCTGAGTCAAGACAGTGTAAAGTATGGGATTCCAATGTCTATTGCATACCATTTGTTCAAGAAAATTCATTAAATGACCTAATGGTCACCTGAAAAATAAATCTTGGCTTCCAAATATAAACACCTCATTTACTGTGAAGCATGTGTATTTGATACTGAAACATACAACAGACACTGCAATACTCTTTAGTGAGAGCTAGTGGATACAACAGTATTTGTAAGAACACATTAAAAAAAAAGACATTGCATCTCTACTTTCCACATTTTAGTTCAAATAGACAGGGCCCAAGCTGCAAAAGTTATTTATATTGCAACTGGACACAGCCCAAATGTTCATGCACTAGGGACTACGCTAGGTGTTTTAATAATCCTTCTGCTATCCAGTTACTGAGAATGAAGCTTGCTTTATTTCTAGTGCTGGGCTCTTGCTCTTGAATGTCTGTAATCCACCTCCTGGTTGGCAACAGTTCTTTTAAATCTATTTTTTATTATATTCTGACATTATGTGCTTCTGTTTTAATGCTACAGAAAATAGGGTGCTGCCAGGATTGAATGCATCCCATATGTTCCAATTTTGTTTTCTTGTGAATTTGACCTCTGATATATAGAATTCCTATCTAGCAGTGTGCACATATGTGAGCCATTTCTGAAAGTGGGGAGAACAGAGCTATGATTCAGCTGAGTGGAACATTCCTAAATAATGATACTCAAAGGAATTTCAGATTAACTAGTGTGTAAATTTATGAGTATCTTTTATCAAATAAACGTTCTTTTTTATATGCAGAGCTTGTTGTTGTTCTTATATTCATTTTTGTATGTGGAAGGGATGAAAGGTAGCCAGTGCTTTTAAATTTTATTTGAAAAAACAGAAGATTGTCCATTTTATGAACTAAGTTCTGGAGGAATTCTTGCAATTCAAGTGAATTGTTTTTGCCTGTGGCACCTTTGCTACCAGGAAGTTATGTAGAGACTAAGGATTCAAAACTTTGTATAAGCAAACAGGAGCAAAAAATCAGGGAGAGAGAAGAGATGTTTATATACTTAATTTCTTTTTTTCCAGTGTACTCTACACCATGTCTAGTGTGAATGCACAGAACTAAATCACAGATGTGACTATCTATTCAGCTAATGCATGCTTTGGTGCAGCAGTCACACACGGCAAAAGCAACAGCTGCTCACCACTTATAGAAGCAGTATGCATTTTCCCCCATAGGATTAACCCACAGATCTAGGTGCATCATAAAAAAGAAACTTACCTATTTTAAAGTAAAAAATACAAATTAAATTTTTATATGTTTTTAACTCTTGATTTTTTAAAATTTTCTGACAGAGACTGTTAGATAAGCACTACTCTGAGCAGCCAGATTTGATGGGCAATATCACACTGCAACACAATCAAACCTGTAGATCCACACAAAACTTTTCATACAAAACTTTATGTGAGCTTGATTTGCCCTAATTGTGTTGTGTTACTTGCAAAGACAGTTACTCTACAGGGTTCTTTGTAATACAGCTCCTCCTAGAACAGAATGCCACTTCTCCATAACCCATGGATATGGTGCATTCTGAATCTACCCCACGACTGGTTATTACGAGTAGAAACCTCTGCTTGATAGGCAGCTTCTAACTCTACATGTCCATCAAGAAATAGTGCTACAGGCCCAACAGCAATGAATTTGCAGCCTGATATTTACACTGTGTGCAATGTGAAGATACCTGCCTGGTCTGCTCCTGTGGCCTGATCACCTGCTGGGGGTAGAAGTACTTTTTAAGACCACTTCCAGATCAGATCATCTAGTTTAGCTTCACATGAAGGAAATCCATTTCCTGGGTTGTGGGATCGCTCAGACCTCTTTTTGGTCCGGAACCCAAAGCACAGTAAATGGGTCCACTCTGAGATTCATTTCAACAGCACATTTCTGATCCAGCCTAAAAAGGCCATACAGATGACCTGAGAAGACTCTGAGTTTGTATGTATGGCTGCCTGAACTAGACCGACTGCACATGCTGAGGTCTTGCTCCTTAGGCTGTTACCACATCCAGCCCCCACAACCACAGGAGGCCCTGTTCTATTAACCTGAAAACGCAGCTTTCTTTGCATCCATGTTTTTCAACAATCTGGTTCTTAGAATCAAGCTACCTAATTCTGACAATTTTTGTGACAATGGAGATGACTTGATGGAAATGAGGAAGATACTTTTAATTTACATGACAACCCTGATCTGACCTGAAATTATCAGAAAACACAGGAGAATAGTGATAACAATTTATCAGTTTGCCTTTGCCTAGTCTTTTGCTGGCTTGTTTATAGAGAATGAGTTAGGATAAGAGTTTCTATTACTAGATATTCCATTATACTATTTCCTGTTGTAATTAAATACTATTAAATTATAAAAGCCTCACCTCTTGGTCACAGCTGTTTCACTTTTGCTCAGTCAAATTCAGGCTGAAGTAATGGGCCTATTTCCAAATTTATTATTAATTGGTGATGTTCAACTAACACAACACAGGTCATATTCCTCCACAAAAAGATACTACCAATAAACCTCCTTTACTAGTACCATGAATATACTTCAGCCCACAGATCTGGAGGGATGGTAATACTTCTTAGGCTGTTCATGGGTGGAGAAGAGATTGAGAAGTAAGGATCTGATGTCTTTATAAAGGAATATGAAGGAATTCACTTCAACTGGCAATGATTTACATCACCTAGAGCTGAAAGTGAAAACTATAGGTACTACAATAGCTAATCTATGACTTAATTAAATATATATGTTATTATATCACAAGACTTACAGTGGTTTAAGAATAACTGTCATAAAAAGAGTAGATCCCGTGTTCTCCACTGCAAAACTGGATATATTTTCTTTTGCTTTACAACTTTTACCTCACAATTTTTACTTCCTCCTCTCTAATGCATTTTATGATACCATATTGTACTTCCATCATTCATGATCTGCGTTGGAACTTCCCTAATAATTACACAGCTGAAGAATTGCTTGTCCCAGCAATTACATGAATTCATGATTATAAAAACAAAAGGGATTTGTGACCCACTTTTTGATCTCTCATATAAGCCAGGCACTATGATTTCTTGTATATTTGTGATACTTTTCAGAAACACAACCACAAACGTTGATTTTAAAAATTCCAGTTGTGAGACATTTCACTGGAATTATTCTAGTGGTTTCCTTTCACTTAAAAAAAAAATAAAATCTTTTATTTCTATTTTGGATTTAACTCAAATTTCTTTATATTAAACCCTTATATTCCCACTGAAATTCTGATTTATATTTCTAGGGTTTGTAATCTTTCAACCATGGCATCACAGTGGGAGATAATCTTATTTGATTATCTGACATGACCTTCCAATTCCTTTTCTTTGGGAAACACTGCTTTCCAGAATTATGCATTTAGGAAGTGAGGGAGAATTCTAGACATAACGATGCCCTTAGAAATTCTGTAGTCATAAGTTGCATTTTTATCAATATCTGCCTTAATAATTTCATACAAGATTCTAGGGTTTTAATGAAATGTTCTTCTGTAGTACCAAGAAAAATGTCTTATAAGACTGTATTATACCAAGTCTGACATCTCTATTTGGAAAAGATATAATCTCATGTAAAAAAATCTAATTAGTTTAGCCATAGGTACAAATAACATAATTGAAATCAGTTTTAGTTCTTTAGTAGTTCGTGTCATAGGCCAGACCTTGAATTACTTTATGTGAAATGTCTTGTATTGATAAGCGGTAATTCAGAATAGGAGCACAAAGCCAAGTTTCCCAGATCCCATTGTCAGGCCACTCTATGGTCATTCTAAGGTCAGGTCATTCTAAGGATGAATGTCCTTCAGTTTTTCCTTTATTGTGGATATGCTTTTAAGAGGTTATTGTTGTTTATTTTAAATGGGAATTCTAATGTTCTGGGAACTGAAGTTGAAAGTTCCTTCTGTTTGGGAAAAAATTTGTTTGGGCAATATTTATTTTGCTTTCTCCTGCAGCAGGCTGCCTGTTTCCTATTTCACATATGTAATGAGGAAATCATTAATAAAACCACTCTGTGGGATATTTTAAAGCAACTTCTTGCATGATTTTAGTCTTAAGTCTCTTTTTTTTCAACTTTTTATAACATAGTAGTTACAATGCGACTTTTTGGGTCAATTACATACTGTCTAGATTTTTATAACACTTTAGCTATTCTGTGTTTTATGAAAAAAACTTGGAAGTGTTTCAGTGTTGTATTTCTAATCCCTTTATCAGTTTTCTTTTGTGTTTTTTTTTTTTTCTGCCGAGTTTTGCCTCTAAACTAATATTAATTTTAGATGAAGGTTTATAGGAATTAATTTCTAGGAACTTTAAAAATATCTCACTAGTTCCACATAACCAACATTTCCCCTGACTCCTTTGAGGCCTCGTCCCTTGCACTTCTGTAGGAGAAAGGAAGTGCATAATTATTAGGCAATACTCTCCCTGTGTTGGATTCTGACTTCCACATGGAAACTCCATCATTTAGAAATATCCTGGGTGTTTGGATGTATGGAAAACCTGCAGATTTGCATCAAACCTGGGGATAAAGGAAGAAATGGTTTGTATCTATCATGGCAGAAAAGTCTATCGCAAGCTTTTCTTCTAACTGAAATGGAAAGCGGGAGATGAGATCGCAGCATTTTGTCATATATATGCCATTCTAATCTAATGCATTTTTCGGAAGGTGTTTGTCTACCTTGTCTACTAGTCAGATGTATGTACTGCCATTGTACAAGTACCTTTGGTCCAGCATCTCCCACGCCTTTTGGGCCTGCTGGTCCTGGGGGGCCTGCTGGTCCTGGAGGTCCCTGATACAGCAGAGGAATAAAGCATGTCAGTAGTTGTCCTAAAGGAAGAGTACTTGTGTTCTTCAACAAAGAAAAGAATTTCAGCAACAGTTACTAATCTCTTTGGTTTTGCTGCATTTTGTCAAATTCTTCACATTTCCGATGTGTACTGAGCAACAGTCCTCCTCAGTCCCAGATGGAAACCTGAAAAGACCACCCAGAGTGGTGGAAAAAAAGTCCAATTCTTGACTGAAGAACATCGGAGCTGTTCTCAGCTCAGAGAAACCAGTGAGAAAGCAGACATTGCTCCATGATTCGTACACTGCAGACATTACACATCTGGGATACCAGAGCTAACCCATCTAAATTTGGGGGTTGGGTAACCCTAACATACTTTGGTATATTTGTGTTTGATAGTCTGTTCTCCTGAACTCCCTGCTCAATCTGTCACAGCCCCTTCAGCTGCCCTTCATACTGTTGGAGGCAACCCCAGCCTCCCTTTCAGCATTCATAGGGCAAATGTCTTCGCCCCATCATGCTACACAGACTTAGCTACATAAATCTTGTCCATGCCTGCCAGTGGTTTACGTAGTTGGTCTTTCCAGATCATGGGGCATGGAAAGGCGGCCTGAGAAGAGGAAAGATGCATGCTAGAGCACAACAGAACCTTCACACATTTCAAGGATGTGTACTCATGTGCCAGGGAGAAACACAACCAGCTTTTACTGAAGCCTGAGACTGAGTTGCAGAGAAGCATGACTCTTATGCCAGTTGCAGATTGGAATCCTAGAACAGACATGATTTCAGGAATACTACTGCAGAGCAAAGCTCTTTTTTTTTGTTGTTGTCTAGTCACTAATAGAAATGCAGGAAGTGCATACATGTAAGTTAGTCATCCTGTGACTGGGCAGACTACAACCAGCATTTGTATAGTTTTATTAATTGATGGTTACCAAACCAGGCTTCTCTTGAATTCTTTGATTAATTAGAAATTATAAGTTTTCAGCTTCTCACTGACCTCTTTGATTCTGTATCTACAAATACTTCTTTTTCATATAGTTTAAACAGATAACTTGTAAAGCTTAGAACTTCAGTTACTATGAGGCATTTTAAGACCTACTAGAAGTTCATCAGTCATCTGTTTGCATCATTGCCTTCTTCATGATTGCCTTTGCATTTGCTTTTCATTTTTATTTGGGATGACAGTAGGGTTTTTTGACTTGTTTGCATGTCTTCTGTTTAATGCATCTGGGTCTGTTACTGGCACTCCTTGACTCTGCAAGGAGTCTTGAGCTGATCTAGTGTCCCTACGTGCTGTGAAATGTGTCAGGTACATGGCATTACACCAGGAATTCTGAGTGAATGCCCTCTGAACTAATTCTGATCCCAAAGGATCTTCCCAGGAACAGTTTGAAAGCTAGGAAATTGAAGCTGAGCTGACTTATTTGGAAGCACTCAGGTCCCACCTCAGTGTATTTGGGATTGCCTTTGTGGTTGTAGTTTGAAATAAAGCTGGATTACAGACATAAAGAAAATAGTGCTAATAGAAGTTTGACATGTGGTGGTTGAAGGATGGCAACAGTATTTTCACATTCTAGTGAAAGTTGGTCAAACATATCTGTGTGGTTTTGGATGACTGAAATTTAGGATGACATTCCCTTGTCATGGAATGTGCCAGCTGGACTACTCAGGCATTAATGCCCTCTGGAGCTAACCATCAGAAAAGCAAGGTGGTGGTGGGGAAAATCTTCGAAAAAGAGGATTTAAACCCCCGGTATGAAAAGCAGCTGAAAACCCAAGGAATTGAAGGCTGCAAGATTTGGCCAAGCAGATGTTATTAGAGATCTTGAACAAAGAACAGTAAAGGGAGGGAGGGAAGAAGGGAAGGAAAAGAATGCAAAGCAGTGATTATGTTAAACATGTATGAGCAGCCATGAAGATTTTTATGGAATTATACAGTATCCCTTTCATGATGCTGAAATGAGGACAGTTTATATCCAGTTCCGACTGCTTGTAGAACTGGCACTGTATCTAGGACAGGAAAGGACTTCAAAGTATATATGAAATATTTAAATTAGCTAAAGGATGAAAGAGAAGATTAATTGCACTTAGTTAAGTAACTAAATATTGAGTTATCACAAAGCAATTCATATTTTTGTAGAACACAAAGAACACAAAATTAAAATTGTACTTACAGCTTCACCTTTGTGGCCATCGCCTTTTGCTCCACGAGGTCCAGGTAGTCCTGGTAGTCCGCGGTGACCCTAAATACAAAATAGTAAGTCAGGCATCGTGCCAGTAACTGGATCATCATGATATAACAAATATTAACAAATATGTAAGGAAACTATTTAAAACTCTTTTGGAAATATAGAATAGCAGCTACCAGCTCTTGCAATTTGTTCGCAAGGCTCAGGAATTTTTGTGCTTTTTTATTGTTGCTTCAGTTGACCAACTTAAGATTTCAGAAGAATAGGAGTTCTCATTAGGAAATTATTAATTTCTAGATTTGTAGTTGCAGAGAGAAATCTTCAGAACATTGACTTTATCTTCAGCCAATACAAAGTTAAATTTATTTTTTAAAAGTCAAATTTTTATGACTTTGGGGGTAAGTAAGTCCTGACATTTGAAAAATGAATTTAATACTGAAACATAATATGCCAGCCTTAAGCTATCGTATCTTGCACATTTTGTGCTTCCAGGTAATCACATTGGTTCTCGCATACAGTAAAGCAAAGCTGCATTCTACAAGGGAAAGAAGTAAAAGAAAGAAATAAAACTGGTTATAAGAAATACATAATTTCTCTTAGTTTAGCCTAAAATGATCTCTGTCAGGAGACAATCATTCCTTCCGCTGACTCTTCCACTGACTCCCACTAAAGATCTGTGCATTTGCAAAACCTCAATGCTTCCTTTCATGACCAGAAGAGAAGCAAATAGCAATCTTTTCCTCTTCCCTCATTCCAGTGATCATTTTCCTGACATTTAATGAGCAAATTAACTGAGCTTGCAATAGACTGTTCTTCACAGAACCAAGAAAGAAAACATATTACTTTGAGGTATCCCTCAAGACACGCTGGCAGTCTACACTGGTAGATGTTCACGCGACAGCACTGCCAATCAGAAATCCTTATTGATACTTGTAGGCCACACATCCACCCCACTCCTAAGCATGGTATGTATATGGCCATGCAGGGAGAAACGTACACCCTTCACTCAGTCCCACAGAACCAAGAAGTGTAAATGGACTCTGCTGTAGAGTGTTGGAGGGTCAGTTGTTAATATGCATACAGATGACAAATCCTGAAGAATAATTGCATACAAATAGCAAATATTTCCCTGTCTATTCCAGCAAAAATAAGCAGCTACAAAAAAGGAACTACAGATGACTGAAAACTGCTGTTTCATCAGTGCATTGTGCCTGGAAATTTCTGCAATAACATAATGCTTCAAGAAACCACAAATGGAGTCCTGATAGCAACTCAGATCTCAGCGGCTGGTCTGTCTGAATACAGTGTCCATGACTGGAGAACAAACTGACACATATTCTAGTTAGATATCCAACAAAACCAGACTTTGGGTCCAAATTTCCTGTCCCATGAACATCTCTACCATAGACACAAGCAACCAACTTAGCCCTGTCAAGGCAAAATTAAAGAGCTGCTTTGGCTCTGCTAAAGATATACATCAAACATTTATGTTAGGAGGTAAGTGAATGAAGAAAGACAAGGTATAGAATCATAGAACCATAGAGTCGTCATGGTTGGAAAAGACCCTTAAGATCATCGAGTCCAACCGTTAACCTAGCACTGCCAAGTCCATCTATACCATGTCCTCGAGCACCACATCTATCTGTTCTTTAAATACCTCTAGGGATGGAGACTCAACCACTTCCCTGGGCAGCCTGTTCCAATGCTTGACCACCCTTTTGGTGAAGAAGTTTTTCCTAATGCCTAACCTAAACCTCCCCTGGCACAGCTTGAGGCCGTTTCCTCTCATCCTATCACTTGCTGCTTGGGAGAAGAGGCTGACCCCCACCTCGCTACAACCTCCTTTCAGGTAGTTGTAGAAAGCAATAAGGTCTCCCCTCAGTCTCCTCTTCTCCAGGCTAAACAACCCCAGTTCCCTCAGCCGCTTCTCATAAGACTTGTTCTCTAGACCCTTCACCAACTTTGTTGCCCTCCTCTGGACTCACTCTAGCACCTCAATGTCCTTCTTGTAGTGAGGGGCCCAAAACTGAACACAGTATTCAAGGTGCAGCCTCACCAATGCCGAGTACAGGGGCACTATCACCTCCCTGGTCCTGCTGGCCACACTATTCCTGATACAAGCCAGGATGCCATTAGCCCTCTTGGCCACCTGAGCACAGTGTTGGCTCATGTTCAGGCAGCTGTCAACCAACACCCCCAGGTGCTTTTCTGCCAGGCAGCTCTCCAGCCACTCCTCCCCCAGCCTGTAGCGTTGCATGGGGTTGTTGTGACTCAAGTGCAGGACCCGGCACTTAGCCTTGTTGAATCTCATACAGTTGGCCCTGGCCCATCGATCCAGCCTGTCCAGGTCCCTCTGCAGGGCCTTCCTATCCTCCAGCAGATCGATGCTTCCACCCCACTTGGTGTCATCTGCAAACTTACTGAGGTGCACTTGATCCCCTCATCCAGATCATCAATGAAGATGTTGAACAGGACCGGCCCCAGTACTGAGCCCTGGGGAACACCACTCATGACTGGCCGCCAACTGGATTTGACTCCATTTACCACCACTAGGTAGACTCAATGTTCTGGTTAAGATGAAACCCTGAAACCCCTTTAAGATGGAATTTGGGATAGGGATGCAAGCATGCCTTATGCTTAAAGAAAACAGTAGGTCACTCCTGTATGAATCTCTGCCATTCTCCAGTCCAAAGGGACAGTATCACTTGAAGATTTTAAACATAACCTGACCACCAGATTCAAACCACAACAGCCCTGGAAGATGTTTCTTCATGTTTCCTAATATTCCAATGATGGAATTCTGATCCAGTTCTGTGAAAATCTTACCAACAAATGTGCTTCTAGTTCATAAACAGCTTTATAATGGAAAGTCAATTTTACCTCTTCCTCGTTCTTCATATCCATAGTTCTTAAATTGTGGATAAAATGAGAAATGTTTTAGAAATGTTTAATAACTATTTTTTCTAACAAGAAAGGAAACCATGCATCATGAGTTCATCTCTATTTTTACTTCTAATTCCTCTACAGTAAAAAATGGCCAAACAGATGTTTTCATTTAATCTTAGCAGATGATTGTAAATACCAAATACATGTTAACACATCCTCTTCTGTAAGAATTGGGATTTTGTCAAGTGGCTGGTTTTGCCACTAGTAACACAGCAATAAATCTACTTAAGTCAAATCTATGGTCAAATCTGCTATAAGAAACAGCTCTCTAGTCCAGATTATTTAGTTTTATTTTTTTTTAATAGCTGCATCGAAAATACACAAGAGATGGCCCAGGAGCAATTCTGTGATTACTGCTTCCCACAGTTTTGTGGGGTCTGGAGAAGACAATCACAGTGACTCACTCTAATTCAGTGCACTGGCAACAAGGCAAGTACCATTGATGTCACAGATGGCATGCTGAATTCATTAATCTACTTTGCCAACATTTCCAGGGCAGGTTTTAAAGTCATTTTCTGAAGCAGTAATATAGAGATAGTTGCTTCTATGCTCTTTCAAGAAAAAAAAAAAAAGATAAACAGAATATAACATAAATCTTGTGTCCATGGTCATTGTTAAGAAAAAAACTACAACTGCCGTAATCAAAACCTAGATGATTAAGTATATGACTGGACAATTAAGTCATGTTCATCACTTCTTTTTATAAGAAAAACAGAGTGAAGTAGCATTCTAGATTATAGACAAAGTAAATAAATTTAGAGTTTTTGAAAATTCAAAAATACAATCTACTGAATGCATATGGATCAATGCGCTATCCAGCATCCTCTGGTAGGTGTATTGGTAGAAGTCTGTCAAGCCAGGAGTAAAGCATTATTGGTATTCCTAAGATGTTATCACACAAAAGTTATTGCATTAAGTTGCTTTATTTTGAACTACATTGTGTTAGGTACACATAAACTAACTGGTCTCTGAATTTGGGTCTATCAACTATATTCCCAAGAAGTGAAATAGTGGAACTGAGTGGAACATTTCATGTGCAGACATGGTAAATGTGAAAAAAAAAAAAAAAAAAAAAGGTTTACTAAGAAGGTTCCTGATTTCAGTCTGGAAAGGAGATCACAAGAATGGTACCTTTCCCAAACACTGAAGGAAGTCTTCCTGAACTATTCCCTTATGACAAGTGGCAGAAGGCTTATAGGAAGTTTCAACCCAGATCATGACTGATAGAAGTACAATATGATATCATAAAATGCATTAGAGGGGAGGAGGTGAAAGCTGCAAAGTAAAAGGAAATATATCTCCAGTTTTTGCAGTAGAGGACATGGAATCTGTTCTAGCGACTGCACTTTTCAGTTTTTCTTAAATAATGTAGAAAAGTGAGTGGCACTGTTTTCTAATGACACCATATTATTCTGATTAGTTAAATGAAAGGCAATGCCAAGGAGGTGAGGAAAAACCCTACTTAAGGGTTTGAGTAATTTGGTGATAAAATATCAGACAAAATTCCATGCTGACAACTGTAATGCATTATGTAAGGAAAAAAAACAGTCATAACTTTATGTACCTAACAGTCATCCTGAACTACTATTACCACTTAAGAAACAGGAGAGACAGAACCATTCTTTGAAAAGGTCACTTCACTGTTCAACAGTGATAAAACCCAATAAATTTCATCCTTTTCAAATTAACCTACATCCTTTAACTTATTTCCGACTGGCAAGAGGATGGTCCTTGGTTTCACCTTATTCTCCGAGCAGCCTTATGTCAACTCATGTGTACTACAGAGGAGAATTTTTCAGTCTCTCACTTTTGCAAAGACTGCAATCTTTGTGTTACCACTGAATCCTCAGTTTTATATCTGGTCTTTCACTTGTGTGTTGATCCTGCCAGTTAACCACTAAAGGCTCAAACAGTGAGCACAGCAATCCCGCCTACAGACTACTGTACTCCTTTCTTGGCGTTGAAGTTAAAAATGTACAGGATATAACTGAGTAAATCCTATTCTGTGACCTATATACAAATAAGTACTTCCAAAAGATCTATTTTTTAAATTCTTTATTTTGGGCCTTATTTATGTTTTTGAATGTGCAAGGTTGGTAATACTGAAACACCATCGTTAAAATAACTAATAACTCTCAGTTTATATTCAGTAAAGAGCATATTGCCCATACAGCGGTATAGAAGACCACATGAGATAATGAAAGGTGGAGATGAATTTGAAGAGGTAGCTCTTGAAGACTTCCTGAGGGAAGTTTGCAGGGTGAGGTACACTGGACTAGTTATTTAATCTATTTTGTGTTTCTTCTTTGAAAAGATAGTAAGTTTATTTTTAAAAATAGGTTTAACCTGGAATGATGGAAAAGTTGAAGAACTGGTCAGTTACTTTCCTGAAAAAGTTGTTCAAGTGGTTTCTACATTTTCATAAGAGTTTTGCATATGTGTCATGTTTCTTTATTTTCCATTTTTTGCCTAAAACCTCCTACCGTTGGTCCCATTATTGAATTTCCAGGAAGTCCATCATCTCCTGGTGGCCCCTTGGGTCCTGGATCCCCCTATCCAAAAAGAAACAAATACAAAACCATACTCATTATTTTCAGCTTTAATTTGCAAAGTTTTATGGAAAAGAACAAGTATTCAATTCTTTCTGACAGTGACAATTATTAAGCTAGGTAATATGAAATCAGTATTTCTAGGGGAAGCTTTTACTACCTTGATTTTGACCTCTCTTATACTTTTGCTTCTCCGCAACTGTATCAAAGACTTTGTTCTGTCTTGATGAATAAGTTGACGGCTTTAGTTTTCAACCAAAGGTTGAATATCATAATTCAGTTTCAGTGGCCAGATTCACCTGTGGCTTCTGCCTACTTTTGCCCACACAAGCAAAACTGCATATCCTTGTTTCTGCCAGAGCACAGAGAGAACATCAAAGAAATTCAAAGACAAGTGCTGACACAGAGTATGTTTAGAAAGGCTACAGATGCAATGGCACAGCACTTCAAAATTGCAAGCTCCACAGTCTGAAGACCCAGGAAGAAACTTGAGTTTTTCCTCAAATATAACCCAATACAACTGTTTGGTAATCTTAGCTCTGTCAGTGGCTTTCCTGGAAAGCAATCAGGCTGAGAATTCAAGTTCCTCATGTTAGCCCTTCACAGAGCAAAATTTGGCTCCTTCTAGTGTTTCATCTATTGGCAACAGATGTTTTACTTTACGTTAAGGATCTTAAAAAGAAAATTACAATTTTCAATGAAACTTTTGCAATTTTTAACACTAGTGAGAAGGACAGGAAGCACTTCAGGAAATATTCACTAGGGAATGCAGATCAAATGTTCTATCAAAACTACCGAGCAGCTGTAACCATGAGAAAGGAATATGAGAAAAAACAGCTATCTAATGTTACTGTCTCCGTATTAGTAACAGCATAATGGTTGTCAGGGGAAATAAAACTATAGTCCTCAAACGTGGGTGTAGCTTAAAATAAATAAATTTCTGGTGGACACAACCATGGCTGTCCAAGGGTTAAGACCTCTAGCAATCACCCACTGCTACATCAAATATTTGAGATGCACTAAAAAGACCTCAGACCATGATAACTCCCAGCTTTGAAAAACATGTGCATGCCCTGTATTAGAAATTTATAATGTCTGGCTTCACTACTGCAGATACCAAGATGTTCCAAGAACACACGTATTAGTAACCATTGCACTTTCCACAGTGGAGAGAGAAAACGAACTTGTGTAGCCTGTTACATCATTGAGCAATTGTCAGAAACATAGCAGATATTTGTGTAAACAAAGAAATTATTATGGAGCTAAAGAGACAATGTTTTGTATATTTTCTAAAAATCAACTTGCATTTTATAATTACCCAAATTACTTGTTTTCTCACATCAGCCACTGCACATAAAAGCCCTAATTTAAAATTTAATAAAGACTTTGGAAAAACTCCTACAGACTCCACTGGATTTTGGATCATGGCCAATCTGCTATGAAAGTGTTGTGGTTTAACCCCAGCTGGCAACTAAGCAGCACACAGCCGCTCGCTCACCCTCCCCTCCCTCAGTGGGATGGGGGAGAGAATTGGAGAAAAAAAAAGTAAAACCCGTGGGCTGAGATTAAGAGAGTTTAATAGGATAGCAGAGGAAAGAAAGCAATAATAATACTAATGATAAAAGAATACACAAAACAAGTGATGCACAATGCAATTGCTCACCACCCGTTGACCAATGACCAGACAGTCCCCAAGCAGCAATCACTGCCCCCGGCCAACTCCCCCCAGTTTATATACCGAGCATGACGCCATATGGTATGGAATAGCCCTTTGGCCAGTCTGGGTCAGCTGTCCTGGCTGATCCCCTCCCAGCTTCTTGTGCACCTGGCAGAGCAGGGGAAGCTGAAAAGTCCTTCACTAGTGTAAGCACTGCTCAGCAGCAACTAAAACATCAGTGTGCTATCAACATTATTCTTACTAAATCCTAAACACAGCACTATGCCAGCTACTAGGAAGAAAATTAACTCTATCCTAGCCAAAACCAGGACAGAAAGTGATATGAACTGTACTGAACAGAATGAAATCAGAGTGAAAAAGGCAATAAAGTCTAAAAAGTTCTTATTTTTCAGCATGAATTTTATCAATAAACAATCTTGACTCATTCACTGGTCCATTCAAAAATGTCACAGTAACCAGGAAAACGTGAAGAAGGGAGACCAGTGTAGTGAAACCTGTCTTCATACAAGTTGTGCCTTATAGCAAGCCACTTATATTTTCCTGACATAAAGTCTGGCACATTATTATGGTTTTAAACCAATCTAAGTGGTATGAGCACCCCACAATCCTCTCCTTTCTTTCTTCTCTGTGGTTGCATTTTTACTCCAGGTGTACCCTGAGCTTCTTGCGTTCCCTTCATCCTTCTTCCTCCATGCACAAGCAAGTCCAAACTACATCCTAGCCCTCTGTGATGTCCTGTTGCCAGGCTGATGAGTACACTGTATGTACAATACCTACATGTGCTTGTGTGTGGGGGCACACATATTTTTAAGGAAGAAGAAAAATGGGGATGAAATTACTTCAGAGCGATAGGATGTACATTAATGATTTCTCTACCCTAAAAACTACCACCAAAGATGAAAAGCATCAATTAAAATTGAAGTTAACTGACATACTATAAAAACAGCAACTATTTTATTTTTAAAATAAAAATAGGGTGGTAGTGAATTTTCAAATGTTTTTAAAACCTTCAAAATTAGCTTTACTCTTCCTGAATCTGCTTGTTTTACTCAGCAGGACAAGTCTCACTCATTTTGGGTACATTTCCCATAGGGAAAATGAGGTGGATGTAGCTGTTCACTTGAAAGTGACATACAAACATTCATCTCCAAAAAATAATCTAGTTCAGCATATAACTCCCTAGAACTACACATAGACACATTACTGCAGGGATTTACTGCCACATTCAGGAAATGTTTAGTTTAAGAAATAAAATGCATAGTAAATTTGAAAAAAAAAAAAAAAGACTTTAAAGTGGTTAATTTCACAGGAGGGGCCAAAACACAACAGAAATGTAATAAAGATTTTTTTTAAACAAATGGCTTCAGAAGGCAATAACGCATACTAAGTTCAGCATCCTGTTAAAGAGCCCCCAAAACTCTGTTTATTTTTAGTACTTTTGAGTCCTTATTTCTAAAATTCAGTCATCTTTGTTATTACAACAAGGAATTTTAACTTCTTTAACTTACATTCTTTTAACTTTGACAGAAATGTGCAATAGAAATTTTCCAGTCTCTGGTCTCCAGCAAACACATATCAGATAATCACCTTTGGTCCAGCAGGTCCCTGAATAGACGATCCAGCGACACCAGGTGGTCCTCTCTCTCCCGGTTCACCCTGTTACAAAATGGTATCATCTAGATTTAAACAGACAGTTTCATTTTCTGCACAATTAGTGAAAAGTTTTTTCAACACTTTATATTATAAAAATATCTACAATATAGATCTATGCACAAAATAGACGGTATTTGGGAAAGACCATAAATCAATTTATTGTTCTTGTGAAAGCTGGTCCAAGTTTCATGTTGTAAATAACTATTGGTTGAACCATGTATTTGACTTTTTAACTTTAATTAATTTTTAGTGCCCAGCTTACAAAGCCAATGGAATAAGCAGAACACTTGTATTATTTCAATTTCTTTATCATTCAGAGTGACACTTACTCACAAAATATTATAATAGAAAGTTAATGTTTCAAAGTAAAAATTAGTGAAATTCTCATGGTTAGAATCACCTGGACAACTTTCATTTAGCTTCTCAGTGCTCACGCATAACTATAAGGTCTGTAATTATATGTTTACCTGTTCTTCTTCTCCTTGGGACTTTTGTGTCATTCAGGACAGAGGATGGAAATATTTCTGCTTTTCCTTCGTTCTGTTAAGTCTCCAAGCATCAGATGCTTGAGAAATTTGTACATTACATAAATTTCATAGATTCTTTTATAAAATACAAAGTGAAGGGTTACCCTGGAGGAACAAGCTTACTTTTGGTCCAGCTGGGCCTTGTACTCCTTTATAACCAATCAGTCCTTGGGATCCTTTTTCTCCAGGGTCACCCTGATGAAAACAAACCTTTTTTTTCAATCACAGCAAAGATTCATTCACAACAAATAACCAAAAACATGACAATAATGACATCCATAATTAGAAAGGTACTTAAATGCTCCACTCTAGCTGAAATTCCACTCAGTTCTAGAATCTGCCCCTAATGTCCTAAATTTAACCAGGTGGGAGATACAAGGTGTCTGTCTACTAATACATCTTTCCAGGCTTTTACTTTAACATTTAGGTATCTAACTAGTCACCTAATTTCTCTTAGCTCCTTCTCTCTCCGTATCAGCATACTGAGATAATTTGCTTCCTCTTAACTTTAATGAAAACTCAGTACTGAATTTTTAGGAAATCTCTACTGCCCAACTAACCTTAGGGTCTATGTTTATAGTTTGATTTTCCTACACTTGTTCAGGCTAAGGAACACATCGCTCTCTCTTAAATCCTTTAAAACCATCAGTTAAAATATAGTTGCTACTTAAGACATAATGAATGATAAAGAGGCCAGAATCTGAACTCTTATGAAACAAGTCCTTTCTTCAGTGTGCATGTCAAGCCATACCTTTTGGCCTACATCTCCTTTGCCAGGGGGTCCTTCTGGGCCTCTTGGACCTTGATCTCCCTTTTCCCCCTAACAGAGATTAGATGGTTAATTAATTTTAATGTACTTAATTTTATTGAATCAATAGACTTATGAGAAACAATGCTTGCATAAACACTTTTCCTAAAAATGTCAGTAAATATCTGGTTATTTTTTTTCCTGCAAAAAATAAAGTATTCTGTCTTCTTAAACCCCTTCCACCCTCCTGCATTCATATTCCTTATTTTCACAGACATTTGTAATAGTGCCATTTGCAATTGCATCAATCTTTTGTAAGAAGAATTGCATGCATATACTCATATGAAGAAGAAAAATGCTTGCAAAGTTATCAGAAAAGGTCTTGGTTGACCAATTCTAAGAAAAACAACTTTTAAGAAGCAGTAACTTTAGGCAACTCTGTAGCCAAAGGCCAATCCAGGCTGCAAATATTTGCTAGAAACATTGCTTCAAATAATGCACAAATAATCCACATAAAACATTCTATTAAGGAACATTATCTACAAAATATTTATGCATAATATAAGTCAGACTAGTATATCAGAATGCCTGTAGGTAATTCAGAAAGTGAAAAGTAGATTAAAATGAAGTTTAAAGATCCATTTCTGATTTGAGCTGTTGATGGAAGTGGCATTACACAGCTTGTTGTTGACAAACATCAGTCTGGATCCCACTTCTGTGAGACAGCTTCACACCTGCAAATAACAGCTGTAACATCACCATGCTACTCACCGCAGGCATCAAGCTGTTCTTTGCACTGTCCTGAATATCCAAGGTAGCTGCTCAGTACTAATATTTTCACTTATAATGACTTATGACAGCGAAAGTGACAGCACCAAGTTGATCATCAGAATAAAGTCAATATGCAAGAGAAAAAACCCCCAGCATTCCCAAATACAAAAGCCACCTGTAACTTTAACCCAACATTTACTTTTAATTCTGATGTTTCACTTCTGATACACTGGGATCTTAATTTTTGAGCATTTACACAGTGGGTGATTTCAATTTTTCAAAAAATAATTAAGTAGCAACAGAAATGCTACATATTTTTCCACAGTGGAAGGCTTACTGCCTCAGGCTGTAGCTTCTCAAACTGGTATTTGCACTGCCCTAGTAGATGAAAAAAAAGTGAAGATGCATTCTTAACAGATGTTTATTACAGCTATTCAGATATTTTCTGATTAAAGACCTGCAGTCAAGAAATGTTGATTTGCTTACTCTGAATCATGTTCAGTTCATCAATTCTACATGTTGGCCAGCTGCTACCCTCATTTAAGAGCTGCACAGTAGCAGAGTTTGGAGGCGCGTGGATTCTCAGCAGCAATTCAATAATCAGCCAAAGCACTGAGTTTTGCTCACTCAGCAGCTCATTCTATTTGGAAAGAGTAAAATTAAAAGCCTCCATTTAACTTACTCTAAAGGAACTATTTTGGGCACTCTGCTTTGTACCACTCTAAATTCCTTTCCACCATTTTGAATTTATGCTTCTTTTTCCCAGTGTGGCAGAGTTTCTCTTAAAATCTCAGAATTTCCCTTGGAAACAAGCAGCCCTGGTTTCAGCTGTTTGTGACGGTTTCTGTACCAGGCTGACAGGTTTCAGCCACAGCTCACCACACTGCTAGATGCCTTAAGTCACATCAATTTGAGCATGACTTCTTGGTGTCAGGAAAAATCTGACCAGGCTGTAAGGAACAGGCTAAAGACATGAGCTATCTGTTCTCCAAGAAGATCATGAAATTTAACAGGAGTCAATAACCCACAAAAAGCAGGGCAGCTAAATCAGTTGCAGATTCAGATGGTAGCCACTGTTAGTACAGTTTGTTGGAAACATCTCAACTAGCCTAGCCCCTTTTCCCTGGCAAAAGTATTGGCACATGCCCTCTTCCAGGTTGAACTCCTTGCCATTGCATACCTGCAAATAATGGCTTGTTTTTCTTTCGTCTACACCTTTTACATGTGGTAAAATATATTTCCTTACCTTTTTCCCCAACTTCCCAGGATCTCCCTGCACCCCTCTCGCTCCTGGGAGTCCTGGTGGACCTATATCACCCTTAAAGAAGAATAAATAATGACATCTGAATACTTCAATAAATTCTTTATTCTGTAAAATGGATTTAATAGTGTGTTAAAATATTGATATACAATATTTTTGCTCAAATAAAGGTTTTTATTCCCAGTAAGTTAAATATTCTATAGAGCCAGTAATTTTTTCTACTCATACAATCTAAAATAAGTATTTTAAATTTCTTTCCAACCTCTCCACCTGCTTCTTAAATCTCGGTTTTGTATTAAATAAATTTACATTTATTCAGTGAGTAAAAACATGATTGAATGCTGTTTGTTATTCTGTGCACAAGACCAATATGATACAACTGTAATTTACTTGGAAAGTCAAACATCTGGGACTTAAGGAATGGTCAGCAAAGAATGCCTAAATGAAGTTGTTGACTGGAGACTAACACCTTGCTGGTTTTACAAACTGGTCTAGGCATTACTTTTAAGACTTGCCACAGAGTTGAAATTATCCATAGGAACTAGTCCTTCCAACCGCTTCTTCCGTGATCTTGGGAAAAAATCACCAAAACCAAGATGTCTACGTCATCTTACCCAAGATTTTGGAAGCCCTACTTAAATCATTAAGGACATGGCATACAGTCTTCAAAATAGTCGCTGAAGTCAAAGCTTTAAGTGCTTAACAACTCTGCTAACACATAGGCAGTATGACCACTGCTGTCACATAGACTGTTTTTTTTCTTCAAATCATTGCAGAGGAAGAGAGGTAGCAACGTTTCTAACGGGCCTTGGAAATACCTGACTAGCTTAGAAAACATGGGGGAAAACTCTGTTCCAGTTATGGCTGCAGTAATGATTTTAGGAGAGAGGGTTGGAGCTCTAGCGCAGCATTTTGAGTTTAAAAGCTAAAACTGTGAAGTTAAGTGTATATCTGTCACTGGAATTCCTTTTTATTTTGATCATAGTCAATCTATACCAAAAAATCTTCTACTTAGTTTATCAGCAACTAGTGAAAGAATTAGAAGACCCTGTAAGGAGCAGTTAAAAATAAAAATAGGCTCACTTTAAGTCCTCGTACGCCAATTCCTGGAAGTCCTGGTTCTCCTTTTTGTCCAGGTTCACCTGGTTGACCCTAGTAACCAAAAGTCTTTTGTTTAACACAGGAACACAATTTAGCTTCATTCATTACTTGCACTATTTCACTAACTGTTTTACACATAGAAGTGGACTTGATGATCCTTATGGGTCCCTTCCAACTTGAGATATTCTATGATTCTAAGTGGTCAAGTTTTCAGCCAAGCTGTTTTCAACTGGAAAATTCTGTTCTTCAAAAACCTCAGTAACTTGTAGGACTGCATCTATTTTATTTAACCTTGCAGTGGACAGAAAGTCTAAGTGAATCATTCCAGCTTTCTCCTTTTTGTTTCTATACATTTTATTCTTTACTTTATACCACTATATCAAAAATTCTTTGGTCACTGACTGAAAAGTGAGTCCAAACAAAGAAAAATCAGACTTTAAGACAAAGTTTTACCCTCACAATTCTTCCTTCCAGTAGCTCTAAAACAGTTAAAGAAATAGGAATACCATTTTTCAATTTTGCATTTTAAAATACTTTTTCACACTAGGAAAATTGTCCTCATACATATCATGTTTCACAGCTGCCTATTTTT